AACCTATCCTCCTCCCTCTTTCCTTCCTTCCTCCCACCCTATATTTTATCTATGTCTACACCTACATGTATTTTGAACAGTTACCATGTGCCTGGTATTGTGAGGGTTTTAATATCAGCTATTTAATCCTTACAGCAATTCTACATGGTAGATATTATTCTTTGAATTATTTCTTTGACATGTTACCATAAGTAAAGGAGTACAAACATTTGGGGTGTGAATTGAATTGACAATCATTTATAGTGACACCAAGAGTGTTGTTGACACCTAATGAAAAGCTAACTGGTAATTGCTTAACTAGTATTTCTTTAATTATTAGTGAGGTTGATTCCTTCTCAAGTAGTTGTCTTCTGGAGTAAATTTTCTATTTATGTTCTTAAATCGTTTGTTAATTGGATCCCTTATAAATTCCTACAAACTACTTATATATAAAGGTAATCTATTATACTTTTTTCGTTTTTTGGTTTTTTTTTTTCGAGATGGAGTCTTGCTTTGTTACCCAGGCTGGAGTGCAATAGCGCGATCTCGGCTCACTGCAACCTTACCCTCCTGGGTTCAAGCAATTCTCCTGCCTCAGCCTCCCGAGTAGCTGGGATTATAGGCACCAGCCACCACACCTGGCTAATTTTTGTATTTTTAGTAGAGGCGGAGTTTCACCATGTTGGCCAGGCTGGTCTCAAACTCCTGACCTCGTGATCCACCCGTCTTGGCATCCCAAAGTGCTGGGACTACAGGCATGAGCCACCACACCCGGTCTATTATGCTTTCCCGGCAACTCTGTTGTCATACATTTATGAATGTATTTTTTAAAATGATTTATTTGGTAGAGATTTGTAATTGTTATGCAATCAATCAACTTGGAACTCTATTCCCCCAGAGGTTCACACTTGCTCAGGTCTCTGCTCAAATGGCCTTGACCACCTGTATAAAATATCTCTCCACCCTCTTCTAATCACTCTCAGTCTCTATTCTCTCTCTCTCTTTTTATTTTCATCACAGTACATTCTAGCTGGCATAACATATTGTATTGGTTTATTATCTGTGTCCCCCACTAGAATAAAACACTTCATGAGATAGGGACTTGATCATTTTTGGTGCTGCATCCCCAGTGCCTAGTGCATAGGAAGTGCTCATAAATATTTTTGAGTGAATGATGCAAACTCTGCCATTGAATTACTTTTATTGCATCAGTGGACAATAAATGATCTTTCCTCTGTAAATGAGGCAATGATACCATTCCATTTTCTTCTGGCTCATTATAGTTTTAAAATAATTTACTCTTTTCCTATATGAAATTTTTTTATGGTACATCATAAATCTTTGACCAACATTTTCCTAGAATTTTGCTTTTTCCATGCTTTTTTTTTTTTTTTTTTTTGAGACGGAGTTTTACTGTCACCCAGGCTGGAATGCAGTAAGTAGCATGATCTCGGCTCACTGCAACCTCTGCCTTCTGGGCCGAGTAACTGGGATTACAGGTGCCCGCCACCACCCCTGGCTAATTTTTGTAGTTTTTAGTAGAGACAGGGTTTCACCATCTTGGCTAGGCTGGTCTTGAACTCCTAACCTCATGATCTACCCGCCTCAGCCTCCCAAATGCTGGGATTACAGGTGTGAGCCACTGCACCCGGCCTCTTTCCATGCTTCTTTTGAATTCATATCAGTTTGGATCTATTTTTTTATTTTTTTTTTTTTTTTTTTTTGAGACAGGCTGGAGTGCAGTGACATGTTCATAGCTTACTGTAACCTTGAATTCCTGGGCTCAAGAGATCCTCCTGCCTCAGCCTCCCCTGTAGCTAAGACTATAGTCATGTGCCATCACACCTGGCTACTTCTAAATTTTTTTTGTAGAGGCACGGTCTCGGTAAGTTGCCCAGGATCGTCCTCCCACCTCAGGCTCCCAAAGTGCTAGCATTACAAGCATGAGCCACTGTGCCTGGTTATGTTTTTATTTCTATATTCGAAACTTTGCACTGGTAGTTCTGATGGCCATTTAATTATAACATGGCTTAAGATTTTATAGGCCTGAGTAGCCCTTAGACATTTTTCATCCCAATTGTTTCTTTGAGATTTTTTTCTTTAACTTTTTACTATGGAAAATCAAATATGCTAAATTAGAGAGAATAGTATAGGAACTGGAAAACTTTTTTTTGAATGCATAATAGAATATTTTTTAACAATGCAAAACAATGATCCTAGCATTTCTGCTTTCCTTTATATTAGGCAGTCTTTGTAAGTCCCAAGTTTATAATGAAAATATTTTCACCATGTACAAAATAGTTCCTAAAATTATAGTAACATATTACCACTGTTCCTCTAATTCACCAAGCCAGTTTTGAGCCCTTCTCTGTGTCCAGCATGTGTTCTAAGAGGTGTGAAGGATACCATACCAAGAAAAGGCTCCCTGCCTGCAAGGTGCTTATAATCCAGTTGGGTAGATAGAAACTTTAAGTGAAAGAACTGGAGACTATCCTGCTATCATCTTAGCTTTATCCCCTGTAAAAGCCAATGACAGACAGCTTATAAGATTAAATACATAACAAATGAAACAGAGAAAGCAGCTAAGAGCCTGCAATAGGTGAGCCAGAAACAATAGTCTCCAAATGCATGATTAAGTATTTGTCAGCACTGGCACAGAACAGGGAGACTGACATTTTATCCTCAACCAAGCCAGGGAGGTGGTCATACCTAGTGCAATGCTAAGCACTCAACTGGTCAGTGAATTTTGTAAAACAGTTTTAAATGTGAACCTAACGGTCCAGTTTCTGATTTTTGTTGTTGTTGTTGTTACATTAATAAGTTCTTTAGTGGTGATTTTTGAGATTTTGGGGCACCCATCACCCAAGCACTGTACGCTGTAGTCAATGTGTAGTGTTTTACCCCTCACTCCCCTCCTACCCTGTTTCCTTGAGATGTTTACCCCTATCTTTTCCACATCCTTTTTTTCTATACAATTTTATGATTTCTGTGAGATATCCTATTGAGATGTTAATTGGTATTGTATTTGTATCTACTTATGCAGAAGAATCATCTAATTTTCCTTATTCAAGTTGTCTTTTATTTTTGCCATTAAAGTTTTGTAATTCTATTTATATAGATAAGAGTATCAGCCTCACTAAATATTTGGTTTTTGTTGTTGATGTTGAAAAATACACCCTTTTTTCAGTATATTTTTGGCATGTAAATTAAAACTATTTTTTGTGTTTATCTTATAATCTGTAGCCTTCCAAAAGAAACTAAATTTTTGTTGTTTCTCAAATTTTCTAAATATGAATTGCCATTTGCAAAGAGTGATTTTAAAAATTCATAATTTTCTTTGTATTTCTGAGTCCTATCAGATTGCTAGAAACTTTTATATCACATAGAAATGTTAATGGGAACACTCCTAATTTGTTCTAAGTTTTGTTTTTGTTTGAGACAGGGTCTCACTCTGTCACCCAGGCTGGAGTGCAGTGGCACAATCGTGGCTCACTGCAGCCTTGACCTCTTGGGTTCAAGCCATCCTCCCACCTCAGCCTCCCGAGTAGCTGGGACTACAGGAATGCACCACCACTCCTGACTAATTTTTGTAGTTTTTGTAGAGATGGGCTTTTCAGCATGTTGTGTTCTAAGTTCTAAATAGAACAATTATAAATTTCTTCATTAAAAATACTAGAGGCGGCTGGGCACGGTGGCTCACACCTGTAATCCCAGCACTTTGGGAAGCCGAGGCAGGCGGATCACGAGGTCAGGAGATCGAGACCATCCTGGCTAACACGGTGAAACCCCGTCTCTACTAAAAATACAAAAATTAGCTGGGCGTGGTGGCGGGCGCCTGTAGTCCTAGCTACTCAGGAGGCTGAGGCAGGAGAATGGCGTGAACCCGGGAGGCGGAGCTTGCAGTGAGCCGAGATTGTGCCACTACACTCCAGCCTGGGTGACAGAGCAAGACTCCGTCTCAAAAAAAAAAAAAAAAAAAGTATAGGCTCTGGTTTGTGGTAAATATTCTTTATTGTGCTAAAGGAAAACTCACTACTATGTGGATCTTTTCTGTAATCAAGAATATCAAACTTTATCAATGTATTTATAGTATCATGGCTTTTCTACTCTTCTATATTTTAATAATGATTAATATTAACTGTTCCCTTAATTTTATACTAAGCTTGCTGTATTTTCCCTGCTAAGATTGTAAGATTTTAGCATTTATTGTCACAAGTAGAATTAACTTTTTCCTTTTCTCATTACTGCACTTGACTAGTCTTTAAAAAAGAAAAAAGCAAAAAAGTTATTAGTTGGAAGTGTAGAGAAGGATAAGGGATACATAGAGAACATGTATAGAGGAAAATATAGAGAAGTATAGAGATGTACCTTTAATAAAATTAAAAGTACCTATAATCACTATCAAAGTCAATATGATTCCAACTTCTAAATATGTGAACACTGTGATTCTATTTTCTTTCCTTTTTTTCTTTGAGACAGAGTGTTGCTCTGTCGCCCAGGCTGGAGTGCAGTGGCACGATCTCAGCTCACTGCAACCTCCACCTCCAGGGTTCAAGCAATTCTCATGCCTCAGCCTCCCGAGTAGCTGGGATTACAGATGTCCACTACCACGCCGGACTAATTTTTTTAGTAGAGACGGGGTTTTGCCATGTTGGCCAGGCTGGTCTTGAACACCTGACCTCCGGCGATCCACCTGCCTCAGCCTCCCAAAGTGCTGGGATTACAGGTGTGAGCCACCGCACCCGGCCTCTGTTATATTTCCTGAAGCACATACAACAATTGACATCAGGTAGACAGCCCAGAATGCCAATTGAGAAACATGAGAAGTTGGAAAATAAAAATTAGCCAAGGTTGAACCAAATGTGAGTCATTCAGAGTTGACTATATCATCATTCAGTTACACTACATCTGTCTCTGAGAATCTTCAGTGGCAGATGCCTGAGTTAAGAGACTAAAGCACACACTTCTTTATTAATATTTTATGTCTTAGAATTCCTTTGGCATGTTCCTGCCTCACATACCTGGATTCTTCAGCCTCGAGAGCCGTGCTCTGAAAATCAGGTGTCTTTTCTTCAGAGGTCGTATTCTCCATCTCCTTGGATGTATTTGCCTCACTTACTACTGGAGTCAAGGTAGTTTGAAAATATCTTTTACCTTCAAAAGTCAGTGTTATGTTTGAGATGGTGACATGTTTTGAGGATTCTTTCAACTCACTCTTACTTTTTGTATCTTGTAGACACCCAGGCTTCAGAATGTTTTTCAATTTTTCCTTTAAAAATAAAAAGCAGCAGCAAATCAGGTAACAGAAGAGCATCAGGTAATAGGTGTTTGTGGAGCAGTATCTAATACAGGCAGCATTTCATTCATCATCACTTAACACCTGTGAGGAGTAGTAAGGAGGGAGAGAGGCTTAGAGTGGCACGACTATGGGGAGAGCCCCAGGTGTGTTGGCGGCAGGCTGTGTGGGAGCCAGGGCCTGCCCCACTGCAGCCTGACACAACATGTTCCCAAGCTCGTGTTGTCACCTCACAGAAGACAGTTGGCATCTCATTACAGCACAGTAAATGTTTCCCAGAAATGCCACTGATTCCCCAGTCTGAGTTTGGTCTTAATTAGAGCATCTGATAGGTTACAGGGGCCAGGGGCTCATAATATAAAAGAGATTTTTTTTTTTGTCAAAAGACTTATAACCTGTATCTAAAACTTAATACCCTAAAATCCCGCCCTGCTCCTAATTTCCCAGTTTCTGTTAATGTATCACCTCTCCTAGTCACTCTCTGATTTGCTCAGAATCACTCAGGACTCAAGGCAGTTGGTCAGCAGGCCCTAAAGCTGGCTTTCTAATGTCCTTCCTGTCCGCACCTTCTTCTTTCCACTGCCCCTGCCTAGTCCATTACTTCTTGATATGGTTTGGATGTTTTGTCACTTGAAAATCTCATGTTGAAATGTGACCTCCAGTGTTGGAAGTGAGCCTAGTGGGAGGTGTTTAGGTCTTGGGGGCAGATCCCTTGTGAATGGCTTGGTGCTGTCCTCACTGTAATGAGTGAGTTCTCACTCTGAGTTGATGCGAGATTTGGTTGTTTAAAAGAGCCTGGCACCTTCTTCCTCTCTCTTTTGCTCTCTCTCTGAACATGTGATGTGCTGGCTCTCCTTCTCTTCTGCACGACTGTAAGTTCCCTGAAGCCCTCGCTTGAAGCAGATGCCAGCATTGTGCTTCCTTTACCACCTACAGACCCATGAGCCAATTAACCCTCTTTTCTTTATTAATTGCCCAGCCTCAGATATTTCTTTATAGCGATGCAAGAATGGCCTAATATACCTCTACTGCATTTCCTTTAAAATGATGTAATAATTTTCTTCCTTAAAGATAAAACTTTTCCCTGACAATGAAAGTCATACATATTTATTATAGCATATTTGGAAAATCCTATAATGAATAAAGCTAAAGGTAGAATATTATTGCTTGCCAAGGCGGGTGGATTACTTGAGGCCAGGAGTTTGAGACCAGCTTGGGCAACATGGAGAAACCCCATCTCTACTAAAAATACAAAAATTAACTGGGCATGTGGTGGGCACCTGTAATCCCAGCTACTTGGAAGGCTGAGGCATAAGAATCACTTGAACCTGAGAGGTGGAGGTTGCAGTGAGCTGAGATCTCGCCACTGCACTCCAGCCTGGGCAATGGAGTGAGACTGTCTCAAAACAATAATAATAATAATAATAGTAATAAATGATTGCTTGTATGATGCCACTTCCCAGAAACAACTACTCCTGTGCACATTTCACTCTGATCTATTTATTTTGTTTATGTCTACTTAGATCATCTTGAAGTTCTGTCTCCTACCTTTTTCATTTAACATTTTATTATAAGCATTTTCCTCCTGTCATTAAAAATTGTGTAGAACTATTTGAATTTTTCCTAATTAAAAATTAGGTTTTTTGTTTGTTTGTTTGTTTTTTGAGACAGGGTCTTACTGTGTCGCCCAGGCTGGAGTGCAATGGCGTGATCTCAGCTCACTGCAACCTCCACCTCCCAGGTTCAAGCAATTCTCCTGCCTCAGCCTCCCAGGTAGCTGGGATTACAGGTGCCCACTACCACACCAGCTAATTTTTATTTTCTAGTAGAGATAGGGTTTTGCCATGTTGGCCAGACTGGTCTCAAACTCCTGACCTCAGGTGATCCGCCCGCCTTGGTCTCCCAAAGTGCTGGGATTAAAGACATGAGCCACCGTGCCCAGCCCTACCATTTTTCTTTTCGTGTGTGTGTGTGTGTGTGTGTGTTTTGAGTCAGGGTGTGACTCTGTCACCCAGGCTGGAGAGCAGTGGCACGATCTTGGCTTATTGCACCCTCTACCTCCAAGGGTCAAGTAATCCTCCCACCTCAGCCTCCCTAGCAGCTGGTACTACAGGCATACACTACCATGCCCAGCTAATTTTTGTATTTTTAGTAGAGATGGGGTTTCGCCATGTTTCCTAGGCTGGTCTTGAACTCCCAAGCTCAAGCAATCCACCTGTCTTGGCCTCCCAAAGTGCCGAGATTACAGGTGTGAGCCACTGCACCGGCCTTTTTTCTATTGTGGACCTAGAGGAAGTTTTTCAACAGTAGTCTTCAAACAGATCTCTTTACCTATAATCCATCCTGCCATTAGATTAATCTTTTAAAAACACAGCTCCTTCATTCCCTTACACAGGAGACTGTGGTCACTAAGGTTTGCCCAAAGAGTTCTCACTTTAAATTTGGCTCTCAAGGTTTTTAAGCAACTTTCCAGTCCTATTTTCTACTATTCTCCATATATATTATCCTCTAGCCCAACTGAATGAAACATTTTTGGACATGACTCTGTGTTTTTCCACTCTCTGGCCTTTTTTTAAAGCCATTCATTTTGTTTTGTTTTTTATTATCCTATTTCCATCCTCATGTTTACTCATAGAAATTCCATCCCATCCTTCAAGGTACTGGGTACTGCTATATATTTTTAAACCAGAAAATAACCCTTACATTGTATTAATATCCTTATTTTAGAAGTGAGGAAACTGAGGCTCATGTGGATTATGTGACTTGGGCGAAGTCACACAAGTAATATGCTGCAGGTTGAGAGTCTAACTTGGTTCTGATTCTGATTCCAAGGTTCTTTCCATTTTGGATGCTGGGCTAAGATTTATGTTAACGGTTGTCACTGCCTATTTCAGGAGACATCTTACAACTCCTTTACACCAGGGTTCAGAGATCGAATCTCACTATTAAAATTGGGTTACTCAGAGTAGGTAGGTTCCATAGCATTTTGATAATCAATGTCAGCTAACCAAGAAGTGTGATCTTGGTAATCACTCTAGTTCTCAGTTATTAAAACATGAAAGCCTTCAGTGACACGTACCTTCTCCTCTTGCCTGGCCCTGATTAAGTCATTGTTTTCAAACACCACTGTGACTCCCGAGCAGTTTGTAATATCAGAGTTGTCTGTGACTTCTGTGGCTTCTCTGACTTCTATGACTTCTGTAACAATTCTTATATCCGGGACCTCTGGGACCTCATTTTCTGGAAGGTCTGTGACATCTGTGATGTCGGTGATGTCTGTGAATTCTGAGAAATCTATGCTGTCCCTGACATGTTCAGGGCCTCTACCTGCGTACATGTACGGGGTCAGGATGGCTGTGAATGCTGTGATATCCATCACATCCGTGGAGCCTGTGACGTCTGTGCTATTCGTAATTCCTGAGAGACTTGAAACCTCTGACACTTTGGAAACTTTGGCTTTCTCCTGATTCAAGAGGGAGATGAGGGCCACCCATTGAGAAAACAAGGTGTCCTGTTTACATGCAGAAGTGCAGAGCTGTAAGTAGTAGGCTCGACCACTCACCAGCTTTACTTTTAGGCGCATGTTCTCTGCGTCATGCACAGAAAGAGTCACAAACTGCAGAGGGAGAAACCTGCAAACAAGCACACAGTAACATCATCTGGAAACCTGATTGGAGGCTTATAAAAAGGCCGTTCTAATATATATAGTTGTTTGTTTGTTTGTTGGTTTGTTTTGAGATAAGGTCTCACTCTGTTGCCCAGGCTGGAGTGCAGTTGTGGTGTGATCATGGCTTACTGGAGCCTTGACATCCTGTGCCTAAGTGATACTCCCACCTCATCCTCCCAAGTAGCTGGCACAACAGGTATGTACCACCAACGCCTGGCTAATTTTTGTATTTTTTTGTAGAGACAAGGTTTCACCACGTTGCCCAGGCTGGTCTTGAATGCCTGGGCTCAAGCAATTCACCTGCCTTGGCCTCCAAAAGTATTGGGATTACAGGTGTGAGCCACCATGCCCAGCCTCTTTCTTATATTTTATAGTAGTTTGAAGAGTGGGACTCCAGACACCCGACTTGTCTCCCAGATAGATCTGGGTAAGGGCTCCTGAGGACCGTCTCATCTTAATCATATACCTAAGGCTCTGATGTATAAAAATGTCAGAATAGGCTGGGTGCAGTGGCTCACACCTGTAATCCCAGCACTTTGGGACTCCAAGGTGGGTGGATCACCTGAGGTCAGCAGTTCAATACCAGCCTGACCAATATGGTGAAACCCTGTCTCTACTAAAAATACAAAAATTAGCTGAGCGTGGTGGTGTATGCCTGTAGTCCCAGCCACTCGGGAGGCTGAGACAGGAGAATCGCTTGAACTGGGAGGTGGAGGTTGTAGTGAGCCAAGATCGTGCCACTGCACTCCAGCCTGGGTGACAGTGCAAGACTCCGTCTCAAAAACAAAACACATCAGAATGTCAACTATCATGAGAAGGTCTCCATTTAAATTAATCCTTCAAAGTTAACTTAAAGTCAAGCAATTTGCTCACGATCATAGACCAAGTTAGAGGCTGAGACAAGACCAGAACTAACTCTGTTGGAAGCTGGGATGCTATGAAAGAGGAGGCATGTTCTAGAAAGGCAGTTTATTATGAGTCTTCAGTTCCTGTTAATTAGATTTAGTTTTTAAAAAATTAACTGCCTGCTTGATATCCACTGTCATACATTATTTCACCCGTCTTTAAGGATGCTCCTCTTTGTCATTTGCAGCAGGGAATGCGAGTGAGATGCTCCTTTGGTGCAATTGTCATCAGTGTTTCTAATTTCAGATCCGCAGGGGTAATGCACGTATTCTGAGAGATCTTTAACCTCTTCTCTTTGTAACTCACCTGGTGAGCACCAGTTTCTCTGCAGGAGGAGATGTCAGGAGACTTTTAAACAGGGGTTCTGTATCTTTCCGGGCACCAGGTGTCAGATGTGCCAGTAGCATCACATTAGGGATCTTGTGGGTGGAACTGGAAGAACAGATGCCTACGGTCACCCAGTTGGCTCGGTTATGAAGGTAAATGGATTCACCTCTCCTGTTAACCTGAGTGCAGGAAACAGGAAAAGGCATTATATGATGAAATGTGTGGCTTTGACAACCTTGCTTGCCTGAGATGTGGAAGAGGGCAGGAAATAAAGGAGAAATGAACCATGATGTATTTGTTCCTTCACTTGCTCATGCTAATTCTTGGAGATACCACAGGGAACATACACAGTCTCTGACCCATGGGGGTCTACCAGGGAAGGCAAACATTAAACAATTTAAGTATGTGACTAATTATTACTGTAAGAAGTGTTACCAAGTACAAGTTCAGGATGTTACAGGAGCACATAACAGAGGACTTGACTTAGCTTAGAGTGGGGAGATAGGCAGTGATATTCTGGTAACAGCTAGGTCTTGGAAGGTACACACATTTACACATAAGTTTAAAATGTTACTGACATAAAAGACAAGCAGCACACACATTTACAAATAATATGCAATATTCTTTAGTCTTTAGTTTAAATTCCATTGAGCCAATTGATAAATTCCACAAACTCTTGCCAAACTCTTATATTTATAACCTTAGAAGTATAGACAATAGTAAAATGTAGTAAAAGAATAGGAACAATGAGTTTTGAATATTTGTTGCCTTTATTTTAGATATAAGTTTATAAAATTTAATTTTTAAGAATTTAATTTTTTTTTTAGATGGAGTCTTGTTCTGTTGCCCAGGCTGGAGTGCCGTGGCGTGATCTCAGCTTACTGCAACCTCTGCCTCCCGGGTTCAAGTGATTCTCCTATCTCAGCCTCCTGAGTAGCTGGGATTACAGGCACGTGCCACCAAGCCCGGCTAATTTTTGTATTTTTAGGAGAGATGGGGTTTCCTCATGTTGATGGGGCTGATCTCAAACTCCTGACCTCAGGTGATCCACCCACATCGGCCTACCAAAGTGCTGGGATTATAGGCATGAGCCACCGCACCTGGTCTATAATTTATTTTTTAAAAAGGCTGTGTTTAACAACTGACTTGCAAATTTCCTGAACACTTACCAATCGACCAATTCCAGCACACCCCTGGATATGGGGTCATGAAAGTCTCCCCGGAGGAAGAGACCTCTAGCTGATACCTGAACCATGTGGGAGATAAACTGGCTGGGTGGAGAGGAGAGGTTTCCAGGCAGAGGAAGAGCATGTATAAAACCTCCAAAGTCCAAGAAACTTGGCCAATAAAATCTCTGCCACTTGGTAGAAGAAGAGACTGGAGGATGGGCAGACAGGGAAATGAAGGAAGGCAGAGAGGAGCTACACTGTGGTTTCTCAGCTGTATGATAACTGGTTCAATTAAAAAATACATCATTGAAAGAAAGAGGATATAGCTCACACTATTGATAACCTACCCAAACTGTGCCCCTCTTCTTCCGGATTAACAGAATCCTGGTTTTGTCCAATATCATGGCTCAGGGATAATGACCCAGCTCAGGGATTAAATCCTGATTAACTTAAATGGGTAGTGGTGGTTCCGCTCCACCCCTTGCCAGTGACTGGTTTCAGCAGTGGCATGTGACCAGCAAGACATAGAGGGGTCTCCTCCAATCCTGGAAAACCTTTCTCAGAGCTACCAGGAGACAGAGCCACCAGGATGAGATGAATATCTTCTACTGCTGGCAGCTATCATTGTCCTGTTTGGATGTGATGCCCTGAGGGGAACTGGCTTGAAGGTGACAGAACAAAAAAAGAGAACGTGAGTCTTCTACTGGGAGTGAGCTGATGCCCTGGGGCTCTTTCACTCTATTTGAGATAATTGCTTTCTTTTTAATTTTTTAAAAAATATTTATTTGTTTGTTTTTAGAGACAAAGTCTTGTCTTGTCATCCAGGCTGGAGTGCAGTAGTGCCATCCTAGCTAACTGCAGCCTGGAGCTCCTGGGCATAAGCAATCCTCCCTCCTTAGCCTCTCGAGTAGCTAGGAATATAGGTGTGCAGCATTGCACCCTGCTAATTTTTAAAAATGTTTTTAGAGGTGGGATCTCCCTTGTTGCCCAGGCCAATCTTGAACTCCTGGCCTCAAGCGATCCTCCCGCCTTGTCCTTCCAAAGGGCTGGGATTATAGCATGAGCCACTGTACCCAGACTAATTGTTTTTCTTTTTTCATTTAAACCTGTTCAGTCAGGAATCTTGGTAACTTACTGCCAAAGACATGCTAACCAGATGGGGTTGTGCAATTTGAAGGATACGACTTATCAAATTATGATAGGGGGCTACATCTGACCTATAGACTGCTAACTACCCCCAGTGTTGGACAAGTACTATGTAATTTCGTTAGAGTGTGCAAAAGTTAACTAACTTGGAAAGGGCACAGGATGAAAGGTGGAAAAGTAAAAACATGATTAGTAGGAAAGATGTAGAAGGTAAAGTACATCAAATCATGACTTGTTACACGTGTTCTAGGGACATCACTAAAACATTAGATATTTTGGGAGGCTTCACCTCCTGCCTGTGGTATACTGGAGGTGGGTAGCTCACACTAGTACTCAAGTGTGAGTGCAGAGAATGTGTTTATGGAAGATGAAGTCTCCTTACCATTTTTTTTTTTTTAGAACAAGGAGTTTAGTTTTATTTTCTCTGTGCATTTGCAAAATACTCAGGACCAACATAAAAAAGAAATACCTCCTGTGGAAAAAGTTACATTAAAAAGGGGAATGGGGTGGGGGTGCTGAAAGGGATTAGTGCCTTAGCCCCAAGGAGCTACAGCATCTCTAATTGTTCCAAGGAATCAAAAAGATATTGGGAAGATGTAACAGGAGGAAGAAAAATGTGAATTTACTGAGGGAGAGGGCTCCAAAGCAGGTCTCAAGGGGCAACTGGTGGCTGGGGAGTGGGTCTGGGTGAAGGGAGAGGCTGGTAGCCATAGGGTGTGGGTCGTGCAGGGCCAGTGTACACATGAGGGGGGCATCAGTGGAGGAGGTCCATGCATACCATGTGGAAGCATGGGACCTGGGTGACCCATGGTAGATCCGAATGGAGACCCCTGGGGGGCATGCCAATTGGAGGAGGTCCAGGATGAGGCATTCCAGGTGGTGGTTGGGGTGGTGGCTGCTCCCCAGAGCCTGGGGGTCCAGAATAGGGATGTCCTAAGCCATGAGATCCATGGTGTGCCAGCTGCATCTGAGACATCCCTGGATAGGGCACCCCTCCTGGTGGGAATGGGTGAGCTCGTGAGTGTCCATAATCAGGATATCCTGCCTCTGGGGTTCCTGCTGATGGGGGACCATGTCCTGCAGCCCCAGGAGGCATAGGTGGTAGGGCATGGTGGGGGGTATCCCAGGTGGGAGGGCTCCAGGAGGCAGCACTGGGAGTGGGAAGGAGTCAAGAGGAGGCATGCCTGGTGGAGGAAGTCCAGACCCCAATGATAATACCACAGGATTGGGGGCAGAGGGTGGAGGAGGTGCATCTGCAAACAGCTGACGAGGGCGGTCAGGCTGGGAGAGCAGGTTCTGAGCTGCCAGAAGTCGTCCAGCTGCTAAGCCATGGCGCTCACCCTTGGAGTCCTTCCTGAAGGCATAAGATATGGTGATAGGGCAGTTACAGAGGTACTGCCCATTCATGGCTTCAATTGCTGCATCCAAAGCATCAAATGAAGTAAAATTAATGAAGGCATAAGCTTTGGAGTTGCCTGTGTCAGGGTCCCACATAATCTTAGGGGTTTGTAAGATGACCCCAAAGGTGCTGAAAGTATCATTGCCCAGGCCAATCTTGAACTCCTGGCCTCAAGCGATCCTCCCGCCTTGTCCTTCCAAAGGGCTGGGATTACAGCATGAGCCACTGTACCCAGCCTAATTGTTTTTCTTTTTTCATTTAAACCTGTTCAGTCAGGAATCTTGGTAACTTACTGCCAAAGACATGCTAACCAGGTGGGGTTGTGCAACTTAAAGGATACGACTTCTCATCATCAATCTCAGGGTCCAGGTTCCGAATGAAAATGTTGGTCCCTACATCCATGTTTTTGTTGTGAACTGATGTCTTGTTCACCTGTATCGGCTTCCCATAGAGTTTGATCATGTTCATGATCTTAATGGCATAGTCAGCATCATCCTCACTCAAGAATTCACAAAGTCATAGCCTTGGTGCTGGACAGACTCTATCCTTTGGCATGTGGTGTTGACTACTGGTCCAGTCTGGAGAAACAGTTCCCACAGCAGAGGTTCACTAACCTTCTGATCCAGGCCCCCCACGTACACAGTGGCATCCTGGTTCTACTCGGAGATTGGCCTGGCAGCCATGGCAAAAGAGCTCCTGCCATCCTCTCCTTAACTTTTGAAGTGTCTGTTGTCTTCCCTTGTCACCCCTCTGTGAAATCAGCTAAGCAGCTGCTCGAATGTGTTAAGAGTTAGAGGTAATAGCTCAGTGTTTAGTGTTAAGACTTTGTTAAGGAATTTCTAGAAACTTTAGAGGTATGACCCCTATCATTGAACTCATTTCACCATTTCTTTGTCAGAACATTTTAATGTTGAATGTTTAGAGAAAAGTTAGCGTTGCTCCCACATGCACAGAAATGCAGTTTCATTCATAATGTAGGGACATTCTTATGAGAAGGAAGCTTTTCTCCCTGACACCATCTGACAATTATATTTTACCTTCAGAACTAAGAGTTAAGATTCATTGTAATCCCTAGTTGTGTCATAGATGTTCTTTAGAATGTCTTCTACGCCTAAGAAAGAAGTTATCTGTATGTTTCCCTGTGGCGGGAAATGCCAAAAACGGTTTCATGTAATTTTGGGAAGATTATGATGGAATGGCAATTACGGTAGAGTTAAGACAGAAGTCCTTCACAAGAGTTTTGGGGACATTTGAAGTAAATGTCCTTTAATGCTGTAATTATTTCAGGTTTTTTAAAATTCCCAAATTGTTCTCTTTAGTAATATCACACATTCCCTTGGCACATTTAAAACAATTCTCCTACCATCCTTTTCAGTTTTCTTTGAGAAAATTACTGAAGTTATTGGAACTTAACTCAGGCCTTGAATATGATTTACCTGGATAAAATTGCTCTCTAACATGGGAGGAGATACAAAAGGGGCATACTCTCCTCCATCCAACATACTTTGAAGATCTCTTGGATCATGGGAGTATGGGGTGCAGAGAGCATCTTGCTCATTGATCCTCGTGGTAGACTTGCTGGTGTTCTTCTTCATTGCACTTGCATATAAACATAAAAAACTGAGGGAATGGAAACACAATTAATGGGTACAGAGAGAATTTAATATCATAATTAAATTGCTTCATTTATTTATTAACTCAGCAAATTTTATCAATATCTGTGATATGCTTGGCACTGCACCAGGCACTTGTATTAATACATACATCTAAACAGGACTAATAAGATCCCTGCCCTCATTCAGCTTACACTCTATGGGAAGACAGGTAGTAAGCAAGCCAAAAGAAACTCAAACAAGATGTTGGATGATAGGGACTATCAGGACTTGAAAACAGATACATATAATAAAAAATGACTGGGGTATAGGGCTTTAAGACACTTATTAGGGTATTAGGAAAGGTTTCTCTAGGAGGTCTCTCAGTATATTCCCCCACAGACCATTATTTTCTATCTTCCAAAGTAATGGTACCCTCTTCATCATGCAGGGTTCTCCAATCCCTTTTTTGTAAGTAGGTTATCAAAGCTATACTAAACTGAGAACACTTTTTCCAGACTATTCACCCATAACTGAGGCATAGCTCTTGGTTGTGTGCTCCTTATGAGACTCTAAGTCAGTGGAAAAATTGTCTTCCACAAAACTGGTCCCTGCTTCCAAGGTGACCACTGCTATAGGCAGCATCTTCAGTACATCGAGTCTCCAGGAGAAAGAAAGAAGAAAATAATCTTGGAAAGTAAAGTAAGTAGAAGAGGAAGGAAGAGGGAAAGGAAGGAAGAGAGAAAAGGGCAGGAGAGGATGTGGCCATGCAGCCCACATGGTTTATCTGTAAGAACTGTCAAATCTCACCTCAACTCAGGCTGAGCCACAATCTTCTCTAGGAGATGAAGTTTTTAACTCACTTCAGTTTGAGCTTCCTCTTTTTCATGATGAAATCTTTTGTAAAAGAAAGAACAAAAAGAAAATCAAATGTATACAGGCCAGGCACAATGGCTCACACCTATAATCCCAGCACTTTGGGAAGTCAAGGCAGGCCAATCACTTGAGCCTAGGAGTTTGAGAACAGCCTGGGCAACATAGCAAGATCTTGTCTCTACAAAAAATACAGAAATTATCCGGTTGTGGTGGTGCATGCCTATAGTTCCAGCTACTTGGGAGGTTGAGGTGGAGGATCACCTGAGCCTGGGAGGTTGAGGCTACAGTGAGCTATGATCTTGTCACTGCACTCCAGCCTGGGCAACACAGTGAGACCCTGTCTCAAAAAAAAAAAGGCACTAATTTGTATACAAAAGAAACTAATTTCAATTCTAAACCTTACTGTTATTTCAAGTGTGAGGTCAAGGCCTTAGAAAGAGTTAGAGTTCTTCTAAGTATACTGGGTAGGTGAAGCGGAGTCCGAGGCTGCTGTCTATGTCGGAGCTAAGCTGTTGTTGATGATCCTCACCATGGTCTTTTGGTGAGTGCAACCAGAGTCATGAGTCCATAGCTCATAATTGGCTTGAAACTGCCAAACAGTGGAATCCTGAGCTCCTATGACCAATGAGGATATTTGATAATGTGGCAAAGGAAGCAGTACAGATTGTATTACCTGGGTTGCATTTAATTGCTCTTTAAAATGTGCTCCTTACGATTACCTGAAAACCTTTTGTTGACATCTTCTAGTAAGATTAGGAAAGCTCCTGGCCAGGCGTGGTGGCTCACACCTATAATCCCAGCACTTTAAGAGGCCAAGGCAGGCAGATCACTTTAGGTCAGGAGTTCAAGACCAGCCTGGCCAATGTCATGAAACCCTGTCTCTACTGAAAATATAAAAATTAGCCTGGCGTGGTGACAGGTGCCTGTAATCCCAGCTACTCAGGAGACTGAGGCAGGAGAATCACTTGAACATGGGAGGTGGAGGTTGCAGTGAGCCAAGACTCCAGTCTGGGCGACAAGAGCAAAACTCTACCAAAAAAAAAAAAAAAAGAAAAAAGAAAAGAAAGGAAAAGAAAAGAAAAGAAAAAAGAGAAAAAGAAAAGAAGAAAGCTCTAGTATGAAACTTGTCGGAGGCTTAGAAGAAGGTCCTAAAGACTAGAGTGGAGCCCTTTAAGAAATGCAAAGAGGATGATGGCACAGGAGCAAGAGCTAGATATTGTGTGGGAAAATTCCCATAAGAAAGCATTATTTAGGAGGCCAAGGTGGGCGGATCACCCGAGGTCAGGAGTTTGAGAACAGCCTGGCCAACATGGCAAAACCCCATCTCTACTAAAAATTACAAAAATTACCCAGGCATGGTGGCATGCACCTGTAGTCCCAGCTACTCCTAAAGGCCTCTCTAGGAGGTCTCTCAGTATATGCCCACTTGGGAGGCCGAGGCAGGAGAATTGCTTGAACCCGGAAGGTGGAGATTGCGGTGAGCTGGGATCGTGCCACTGCACTCCAACCTGGGTGACAGAGCAAGACTCTGTCTCAAAACACACACACACACACACACACACACACACAACCAAAAATAAAGCATTAAGTTCTATAATTAGCAGCATGTTTTCCTTCTTAGTGGCACATAAAATAATGATATATCTTAATAATTGGTGGATCTTAGATTTGAGGAGATGCAGCAGTCAACTCTTGTTCATACAGAGTTAAGTGAAAGAGTGCACTGTTTTGGAAAAACAGTGCACTCTGAGAAAATGAAAACTGCACAGTGGAGGGTGTGTCTACTGTTGACAGACACTTGCTAATCAGGAGATGCCACATGGCTGCTGGGATAGGGAAAGGCCCTTTCCACTGCTGTCATTTATGAGATCTCCAGAATCCCTTGCATCTGAGAATTCTCCTTCCAGAGAGCAAACAGTGGATGATCTCCCAGGCAAATAGGTGTAGCTGTGGATTCAGGACACAGAGAGGGAGGAGGAAGTGAGAGGAAAGGAAGGAATTCAGGGATATTTGCAGCCACGACTGGGTCTCGCCCCTTTTGTCCTTTTTGAACAAAGTTGAGTTTAGCTGAGGAGCGGAAAGTGTTAACAGGCTCTTTTATCAACTTTGCTGTGATGTTCTAAATATTTGTTCTGGAATTATTTTTACACTTTTGGATTATGTGTATAGCTGATAAGTGTGTGCTAAATTTTGACTGGTTTTGTTGTAATTGTGATTTGAGATATCTGTGTACTACACCCCTCACCCCACCAACATCTCCAATTATCCTAGTTAATTAGTCCAGGCTTGGGCGTGGTGGTGGCTCACGCCTGTAATCCTAGCACTTTGAGGCTGAGGGGGGCGGATTACCAGGTCAGGAGTTCGAGACCAGCCTGACCAATATGGTGAAACCCCATCTCTACTAAAAATACAATTAACCGGGTGTGGTGGCGTGTGCCTGTAATCCCAGCTACTTGGGAGGCTGAGGCAGGAGAATTGCTTGAACCTGGGAGGCGGAGGTTGCAGTGAGCCAAGATTGTGCCACTGCACTCTAGCCTGTGTGACAGAACAAGACTCTGTCTTGGGGGAAAAAAAAGTTTAGGCTCTTAAAACAGAGAGATGGTTCTGTGAAGTCATCATTTTGGCCCGACACACACACACACACACACACACACACATGCACACACACATACCTCATCATCATATATTTTACCAATGGTAAAGTAAATTAACTATTTACTAGGTTCACTCTTTTTTTTTTTTTTTTTTTCTCTACAGGGTCTTGCTCTGTCACCCAAGCTGGAGTGCAGTGGCGTAAACTGCAGCCTTGCCTTCCTTGGCTCAAGTGATCCTCCCACCTCAGCCTCCTGAGTAGTTGGGACCACAGTCCTGCACCATCCCGCCTGGGTAATTTTTGTATTTTTTGTAGAGACGGGATTTCACCATGTTACACGGGCTGGTCTCAAACTCCTGAGCTCAAGCAATCTGTCCACCTTGGCCTCCCAAAGTGCTAGAATTATAGGTGTGAGTCACTGTGCCTGGCCTTAGGTTCACTCGGAATATCTGGAGACAGTATTCAAGTTTTGGTATATGTCTTTCCAGTTTTACAAATAGATTTTTCACTTAATTTCTTTCTCTCTGTTTTTTGTTTGCCTGTTTTGTTTGTTTTTGTTTTTGTTTTTTTTTTTTTTTTGAGACAGGGTCTTGCTCTGTCACACAGGCTGGAGTGCAGTGGTGTGATCATGGCTCACTGTAGCCTCAACCTCCCCAGCACAAGTGATCCTCCCACCTCAGCCTCCTGAGGTATTTGGTATTACAGGTACATGTAACCGTCCAGCTAATTTTTAAAATTTTTTGTAGAAATTGGGTCTTCCTGTGTTGCCCAGGCTGGTCTCAAACTCCTGGGCTCAAGTGATCCACCCACTTTGTCCTCCCAAAGTGCTGGGATTACAGGCATGAGCCACTGTGCTTGGCCTACTTAATTTCTTTATATATATACACACATATATGTAATATATGTTAAAATGTATGTAATATATATTAATGTATCCCCATAACATTAACTATTTTTTTTTTTAAACAGCAGTTATCAATCATGGTGTCAAGCTATTTGGAACATGACAATCTCTTGCAAAGAGTTGCAAAAGTAATTGTGGCCAGTGGTTAAACTGATGCTTAAGAAATGATTTTCTTTTAAAAAGAAACAGATGGTTTCTGGGTTCTCTCCTGATAAGCTCCTTGCACTCTGCTTTGCCTTCTTGGTGTGCGGGCACAGTAGAGACAGGCAATCAAGCCTGACAGTCAGTTCAGACCCCACCCTCTGATCCAATCACCTTACTAAGATATCATTATTAACTTTGGTGACTCAAAAATACATGTTGATTATTCAAGGTGTTAGCTAGGGAAAAAAAAGAAAGCAAGAAACAGAACTACCTGCTGAATGAAAGTCAGAATTAAAGCAGGGTTGTTATGGGCTATCATGGAAACACAGAGCTAGCTCCGTGGCACAGACACATGGAATCTTTTGTCATAATTTATTCTATCAGGATTGTGTATCAGTCTTCACAATCATAGCTTATATTTTTCCAATAATGTTTGCCTTTTGCTGGGCCCATTCAACGTCCTATTCATCTAATTAAGCAGGCAGGATGCAGAGCCATGTTGCAGGGAAGGGCTTTTGCTGAACCGCAGAGCAAGGATGGCACAAAGAATGGAGTTTTATTTGAGATGGATGAGCTCGTCCTATCACTAGCTGATCCCTTATGGTCTTTGTTACTTCTTTTAATCAGTACTTTTTCTCCCTCTCAATCCTTTCTCTGTTTTTCAAGTTCCAATTGAATGGTGATTCATTCAGCAGATAGCTACATTAGGTTGTACTTTTCTGCAGAATTACAGTATAATTTTCATTTGACAAAGTGTAGTTGGCTACTTTTAGTAAAAGAAAAGTTAGAGAGATTCCTTATTAAATCGGATTATAGATCAGAAACCAATGCTAGTTGTTCTATAGGAAAACCAAGCACAGAGAGGCAATGTGCTGTATGCGTTTCAAGAGGGAGTCACTTCAGCTGCTCTTCAGACATTCCATGGTGTCGTCAGGGCTTCCCTATCCGTGTATACTGTTTCAAGGATGATCAAGGCTCCATTTGAGCTGAGAACTGCTATTCTTAGATACAAATATGGGATGCATTTACCCTGTGGTAGAGGTGGGGTGCCTTTATTTTCCTGGGGATAAACGCAGTCATCTGGAACTTTTTGGAAATGTGACAGCTTGAGTGTTCATGGCCATTGGGAAGGGGAGAGAGTGGGAATCTGAAGAGCCAGTGTTGCACTGTCTTGGTTGGCTTTTCTGACTGCCTAATTCAGAGAGATGTCTGTACATGCCCCTAAAATGTCCTCTACAAATGTTTCCTGTTTACCATTACAATGTGGTATTTTCCCTCCAATATTTTATTATAAAAAGTTTCAAACTTCTGGCAAAGTTGAAAGATTTCTATAGTGAACACTCATAAACCCACTACCTGGATTCTCATGTGGTCTTTTTACTGTGTTATTTGTCTGTAATTACATGATGGCTCTTTTTTTTTTTTTAGATGGAGTCTCGCTCTGTCACCCAGGCTGGAGTGCAGTGGTGCGATCTTGGCTCACTGCAACCTCTACCTCCTGGGTTCAAGTGATTCTCATTCTTCAGCCTCCTGAGTAGCTGGGATTACAGGTGCCCACCACCATGCCTGGCAAATTGTTGTATTTTTAGTAGAGACAAAGTTTTGCCATGTTGGCCATGCTGGTCTCAAACTCCTGACCTCAGGTAATCCACATGCCTCAGCCTCCCAAAGTGCTGGGATTACAGGCGTGAGTCACCACACCTGGCTACATGATAGCTCTTAAATGACAGCATTTACCTGTCACTTGTTAAAGTTGTTCTCTGTAGTCCTTGGAGCTTTGAGGTTAATTATTCCCAGCACTTTGAAGTGTGGCATTTACCTATGTGATTTTTCCCAACATTCTTACTATACTAATAAACATATTTTTAGGCTAGGTCCAGTACAATTCTAGGTTGCAGTTCTGGTTGCACCTTTGCAGGAGGCTAACTGTTGTGGCCCCTATCTCTTGAAAATGATATCCCCATGCCCAACCTTTCAGCTTTGAAGAGAAAGCCTTGTGTTCTGAATCTTGAAACATCTGAGTAATTAAAAAGGGCTGTTTCCCCCAAAATTTATTCAATTCTCAGTCTTTGAGAATTTTTTCTTATGGACGAAAATATTGGGATAACAGTCTGAAAAATCAAAATTTAAAAACAGGCTGGGTACAGTGGCTCACGCCTGTAATCCCAGAATTTTGGGAGGCCAAGGCAGGTGGATCTCTTGAGTTCAGGAGTTTGAGACCAGCCCGGCCAACATGATGAAACCCCATCTCTACTAATATCATAAAAATTAGCCAGGCATGGTGGTGTGTGCCTGTAGTCCCAGCTACTTGGGAGGTTGAGGCACAAGTATGGCTTGAACCCGGGAGGTGGAGGTTGCAGTGAGTCGAGATCACACCACTACACTCCAGCCTGGGCAGCAGAGTGAAGCTATGTCTCAAAAAAAACAAAAAAACAAAAAAAACAAAAAAAACTGGGCACAGTGGCTCACGCCTATAATCCCAGCATTTTGGGAGGCTGAGGCGGGTAGATCACCTGAGGTCAGGAGTTCAAGACCAGCCTGGCCAACATGGTAAAACCCCGCCTCTACAAAAATACAAAAAAAAAAAAAATTAGCTGGCGGAGATGGCCAGTGCCTGTAACCCTGTCTCTACTTCAAAAAACAAAACAAAACAAAACAAAACCAAAATTATCTGGGCATGATGGACACCTGTAATCCCAGCTACTGGGGGAGGCTGAGACAGAGAAATCGGCTTAACCTGGGAGGTTGTGGTGAGCCGAGATTGTGCCATTGCACTCCAGCCTGGGTGGCAAGGCGAGACTGTCTAAAAAAAAAAAAAAAAAAAAAAATTGAAAACAATCCAGAAAACATGCTTTCATTTCAAACTCAAACTCTCAATGAAATTATTTCTAAGAAAAAGAAAAGCAGTCACCAGGTGTTAAGTCTCTCGGCTTTTCTGCTTGTTCTGGTTGAGGTAGAAGAAATAAAACTAGAAGGAGAAGAGGAAGATGGAAAAAAAAATAGATATTCTGCCCTCGAATTACCAGAATTAATTGAACTATTCATTTCCTTCTCTATCAGTTTCAAACCCAAGTTGCAGTAATGAGAGAGTCACTTACCAACAGATGGGGCTGAAATAGATCTCTGGAGATCTCCTGGATGTTGACTAGGAAAATAATCTCCAAACAGCACGTTTCCACTCTTTTCACATTTCTTTAGCAGGTGTTTATGTCTACCCAGCAGGCAAATAACCACTTAGTAAAAGAAGCGCAGTCCAGGCTGCTCTGGGCATTGTTCTATTGCTGCTGCATCATAATCATAATGTGCTGACATAGTCTCGCAGTAAGAGAAGAAGGGCACTGGTGAGGGGCAGCCCTGCAGGTCTGCCCCTGAGAGGAAGTGTGGTCAGCATTCCCGTGGAGCCCCGACCACTCGGGAGTGGGCATTCAGGTGGTGGTGTGAAGTTTCCAGAAGATTTCTTGGAGAGAAAAGTCAATTTAGCAACAGTATAACCACGGAAAAAATATCATATTTTACATCATTGACCATTCAATTGATAATTTATTATTCAATTTCCCTGTATCCTAAGTTTCACAGACTTAAACGTATTTAAGGCACTTTGAGCCTCTGTGAAGAAAAGCATCAAAAGAATATAGCATTTTTAGAGGGAAACTGCTTAGAAACAGAGCTGAGGCCGGGCACAGTGGCTCATGCCTGCAATCCCAGCACTTTGGGAGGTCAAGGCAGGAGGATTGCTTGAGCCCAGGATTTTGAGATCAACCTGGGCAACACAGTGAGACCCCATCTCTAATGAAAGAAAGAAATGCTTTTAAAGATGCACAAATTATAAAACTGTATGTATAACTTCATTTGGAGATTGTAAGTCTGAATTTGTGGCACTTTGTCAAATTGAGGTCTGTGAGCAATTAGCCCTCTTTGTCCCTCATGAGATGGGCCTGCCTATTTACGCCTGCATGGGATCTTCTTAGCTGCATGTCCTAAGCTTGGGATATGAAGGTTTCCTGCCACATTCAGTCCCTGGTGAGTGCAATGCAAGGTACATTCTTTCAGTCGGCTCAGTAATGAGTACTTACTATTTCCTGTGCATCATGCCATGCTGGACCACAAAGATGAACAGTCTCTGCACTCAAGAAGTTTACCATCAAGTGGAGAAGGGGTCATGTAAACAGAGTATTTCAGTGTTATGTAGCGATAAGATGGAGGGGTGACAGGGGATTCTGGGAGCACAGATGAAGGGCACTTAGTCCAATTGGGGGATTTAGGGAGAGTTTCATGGAGGAGCTAATATCCAAGCTAAATCCTGAAAGATTGGTCAGCCTGAGCAAAGGCACAGAGGCATGAAATGACAGGGTTTTGAGGGGTAACTACAAATGGTCTGGTGTTACATAAAGTTGAAGAGGAGAAAAAAAATGAAGTTCATGGAAGAAGGGCCTAGATTGTGGAGGGCTTTGAAAGCCATAACTAGGTGCTGAGACTTCATCTGCTCCAGTAGTTCTAATAAATAGTGTTACATGGAGAGATTTATGTTCTGAATTGATTATTCTGAGAGCAGAGTGGAGGATAGATTTGGAAAGGGCAATTCTGGAGATACTAAAGCCATGGTAGTGGCAGTGGCAGTGTCAATGGAAAGGAGGGGGTTAACTTGGGAACTATTAGTAGAGTCCATAGAATTTGGTGACTCACTGATGTGGGGAGGGAAAAGGTGACTCAGAGTTTTGGGAAGCTGGGTGAATGACGACGGTGCCCTTAACTTGGAAACAAACTACAGGCAGAGAAACAGGTGTAGGAGGCAGAAAGAATGAGGTGCTTGTTTGCAGGAAACCTTGGTTAGCATGGTGCCTCGTATTAAACTGTTTAGTAAATGATTTCTTTCTTCTTTAAATGTTCAGTACCTTCCTAATGCTTTTAGAATATGTGACATGTATCATAAGGTATGTGTATATATTTAGTATTAAACTCAAGAGCCTATATATTTGTGAGCATGATCTGGCTCCATCCTGGCTTCAGTTCTTTCCAACTATATTTCAGACCACTTACACCACTCCCTCATCATACTTCTGTCTCCTTCCTGATGTTGCATTCTTTAAGCCATTTCCTGTCTGAAAAGCTCATCTCCCAGCTCTTCACATGTGGGCTTATTTTCGTTTTTCAGAACCCAGCTCAGATGTCACCTGTTTAGAGAGCTGTTTCTCAATCACTTGGTCATTGATTGTCTCTCAGCTGCAAATGCACCACAGCATACTCTGCATTGAATTGCTGGAGCTCTGCAAACTACATTTCTCTCTCCAGCTAGCTTTCTGTTAGGTTCAATAATAGGTTGCATTAGACCAGAGGAGGCTGGAAAATAGGAGGGAAGAAAAGACTTGTGTTCCCTCTAGTTGACCTGCTGTTTCTCTCAGTGTCACCTGGGCAACAGCAACTGGTTCTAGCCTGCATTTTGGTTGTTTTGTTTTTGTTTTTGACATTCTCAGAATCAGCAATTGGGCAGCGCCTTCTCCTTAGAGGGCTGAGTCCTGGCTCCAACGGGTCCGACCTCTGAGCTTCCAGGCTGTGATTCCCCTAACCTATCCCTTCCAACTCCGCAGCCCTAGTTGTGGGAGTTGCTTCTTCTAGTTGTCTCTGATATCTGTGTTTCCTTTGTGCTTTTTTTCTAGGCCTCCAACACCTATTTAACATATTCCTGCATTGAAGTCTCTCTGCTGAAATACTTAATGTGATTTCTGCTTCTTTAAAAATGGCTGGATCCTGAGACAACCACTGAATCTGATTGAGGCTTCCACCCAGTCACTGTCTAACATGTCATTGAATGTTCTTCACATACTTTTCCTAACCTGCATTTAAATTGTTTTCCTTTCTCATAATCTCTCTTCTTCACTTAGATATCTGAGACTGTCTCATTCATCATTGTATTCTCAGTGCCTAACATGGAGCCTGGCATACTGTAGGAGCTTAAGAAATGCTTGTTAAATAAAATGAATGATTTCAAAAGACTGCAGGAGAAATACTGGTAGCTGGCCATACAAAATGGACAGGATTGAGCAAGTCTTTAACTTTTTGGTTCTAGGCCAAGTTATTGATGAATTCTGTAACAACGTAACACAGAGAGTCAAGCATAATGCTTCTTATAAACATGTCAGAATGCAATGCATTATTTAATGTAGACCCATCCTCATTGGAATAACAAGACATACAGTTTATTTACTTTGAATCCTATACTTGTATAACCCCCTACCCCACTTTCTATAATTGGGAATGATAATGACTTACATTGTTAGGGTTTCATGAAGATCAAGAATTGCTAACAGGTTAGATCTACAACATTTTTTGATTAGCAAATAATTTTAAATATGAAAGCCATCCAAAAGAATCTACCTGCTGTAACATGCAACATCACCAAGCATTTACTTGATAAACATCGCCAGCTTATGTTCTTTTTTTCATTCTGGTATGATTTGAAACAACCAAAACACAGAACCAAAAAATCTGGTTAAAAAGGAACTGCTTAACTTTTACACAGATACAATCAAAACCTGAAAACATCTTCTATAGCCTTTTATGTAAGTATCAACTACTAAGACAAAAAAGACTTGTAATATGCTTCTTATATAATTTTAGTCAAATAAATGCAAATAGATTAGATAAAATTGATGTCCACGGTGCCAAGTAGAAATATTTTGTTGAACTTTAACATTTAAATGACATTTCCCCTGTTTCCACTTCAAGTGTGTTCATATCTTCTCCTTTTTCTAACTCAGAAGGAAAAATGTTCCTTTTCTTTCCCAGCTGAATTGGGCCACCAGGGTCCTTAAATCCAGCCCTTCTTTCCTCTTCCTTCTCCTTTTAGGATACTACTCTTGCATTGTTAATATGCCCACCACTGTTGTTTCTTTTTCAAAACCCACAAACCAAATCTTCCCTCCACTTTGTTATCAGTTCATGCTACTATTTTGTCTTTCTTTTTTCACACACAAATTCAGAAGAATTCATGTTCACAGTTTCTAGATTGTAATCTGGCTTTTGCTCTTAACCCACTACTAAAAGTGCACTCTTAGAGTTCACAAATGATTGCCTAATCAATAAGGCTTTTTGAGCCTTCATTCTTCTTTGTATTTCTTTTGCATTTACAGTTGATCCTTCTTGAGACTCTCCTCCTTGGTTTGTGGGACCCTGCACTCCTTCTCTTCTCTTCTACAAACTGTTTTTCCCCTGATGCCATTCGTGGCTTTTTCCTCCAACACCCCAAGGCCTGTTCTCTTCTCTTGGCAAGGCTTTTCTTGATAATCGTTTCCATCCACCCTTGCATTTCAGATGCCACCTTTATGTGAATGATTCCCAAGGTTGTATCCAGTCAGTAACTCTTCTGTGAACCCCTAACCTGTACTTTCAAATGCCAGTGGGACATGTCTATCTTAGCACTCCTGGCATCTCAAACACATGCCCAAACTCAACTCCTCCATAAAACTCATTTTTTCTTTCTTTTTGTTAATGTTTAACATTTTCTCAGTCAGCCAAGAGGGGAGACTTTGAATCATCTCTCCCTTCTTTAACTTCCTTTCCAAAACTTGAAATCAGCCATAAAATTCTTTCCATTCTTTTCTCTCCAGAGATGTATCCATCTGTTGGGACCTTCCCATCACCATCATCATCACCTCTACCCCCTCACCTGCACAATTGCTATAACTTAACTGGTGTCTTTCATTTATTTCTCTCCATTCTAGTCTATCTGCCTGAAGGCTGCCAAAGCATTTTCCCTAAAAGGATATCTCTGATCATGATACATCCCTGATCAAGAATCTCTAATGGTTTTATTGTCTCTAGAATAAATCTAGACTCTTAATTTGGTACTTAAGAACTTTAATACCAAATAACTTTAATAACTTTTGGGCCTTAAATCAATACTTTTTCAGTCTCCCAAACATCTTATACCTATTTTGTTTCTATAACTTAGGAGTTTAAGAAGATAGACTGTAGGCTGAGTGTGGTGACTCATGCCTGTAACTCCAGCACTGTGGGAGGCTGAGATGGGCGGATCACTTGAGCCTAGGAGTTCAAGACCAGCCTGTCTCTGCAAAATGCAAAAAAAATTAGCCAGGTGTGATGGGTAGTCCCAGCTACTCAGGAGGCTGAGATGGAAGGATCACTTGAGCCCATGGAGGTCAAGGCTGCAGTAAGTTGAGATCATGTCACTGTACTCCAGGCTGGGCAACAGAGTGAAACCCTATTTCAAAGCAAAGCAGAACAAAACAAAACAACAACAACAACAAAAGAAAAACAGAATATAGGTGGGGCATGGTGGCTCATGCCTATAATCCCAGCAGATCACCTGAGGTCAGGAGTTTGACACCAGCCTGGCCAACATGGTGAAACTCCATCTCTACTAAAAATATAAAAATTAGCTGGGCATGGCAGTGCATGTCTGTAATCCTATCTACTTGGAAGGCTGAGGCAGGAGAATCGCTTGAACCCAGGAGGTGGAGGTTGTAGTGAGCTGAGATTGCGCCAGTGTACTCCAGCCTGGGTGACAAGAGCAAGACTCCATCTCAAAAAAAAAAAAAAGAGTACAGACTGTAGAGTCAGATTGCTGAATTTGAATCCTTGCTCTCTCTGCTACTATCTATGTGACCATGGACAAGTTTCTTAATCTCTGTGCCTCAGTATACTCATCTGTAATACAGGAAAACCAATGCTTATAGGGTTGTGAAAATTAAACATATAGAAAGTATTTAGGATAATGCCTGGCCTAC